GTACTCTATTTCGACTGTGCGTACGTTATACTTTACAAGACACATAAAGTACGCAAAAATACTTTATTTAAGGCCTTAAGTAAACATCGTAATTTTGTAAGCGATTATTCGAAATTCAGAGTATTTTTACATCAATAATATTGCACAGAAAAATGGCAAGCCATATTTATGGAACAACCTGATTTCCCAAATCTGTTCAAAGTAGTGTCACTTTCGCTGTCCGTTCCGGCCACTTCAGCATTTACAGAAAGAGTATTCTCTGGTATGAAAGCAAAGTGGCGGGACGACAGAAATAAAGCTTCATTAAAACTAATTAAAAATGAACTTTTAGTTTACTTAAATCTTTGTTTGCCCTGTGTAGAGGCTATTAATGTATTTAAGAGCGAGAGCAATTTGTTACTGGCTGCTAGGTGTAACAAAAAATATGTTTTTAGAAACAAAAAATAAAATAGTTTATTTTTATGCTGAGTACTTTTTTTTTAACCATTTAGTCGAGAAATACTTTATGTAAAGCCTGAAATGGTGGCAACGCTAATTGTAACGCCTGACCTAACCCCCCTCCCCCTTTCACATTCCGATACCTAACGCATGCATTGTAAAAGGTTACACTTGAATTCATAAAATAAAAATTTTAAAATTTCCAATAATAATCCACTTTTAATTAAACAATTACAATTACAATTTCCTTCCCTGTTAAGGTGTGGTGTCATCGTATCACGAGGCGCGTAACTATCATATTAGGGTAGGTAGTGTGATGCACTAAAACCCCAAGCGTTTAAGAAATTTTAACCGATGCCATGTATTATTTTTTTGTGTAATTAGGGTCTCAAAAATATTTTGCATCAGGGCCTTTGCTTATCTAACTACGCCACTGGGTATCACACTGCTTAACAACGGAATTTGATTTACAGGATGATTTAAATATCCTGGACAGTGCTTTGTTACTTACATTAATTAATATTTAATTATACATATTATAGCCTTTCTTATATTCAATAAGAATTTTTTGAATTTTTTTTACTGAACTCCTGGTGAAGATAGTGTCATGTTTTGGCGTTAGGGTTTCAGCTATTTAATGTTATTCTTTCAAACTTATTTTGGGGATACATTATCTTGGGACAAGCTATAGTATTACCTTTAAGTATAAGCAGACAACATGTCTGCTTCGCCACATTCATCAATCTATTAACGACAGTATTCATCGAATTTGCTAATCAAAATTAAAGCAATTTTTTATCCTGACCGAGTAGGCGGAATATAACAACAGATTATAAATTATTCACGAAGTGTGTTAACAACATCAGGATATTTGCAAAACCATGCCGATTCAAAAAGTCACTTATCAAGTCCAGAAATCGTAATCGTAAATAATTCTACAGTGTGTTAAGTATCATGTAAAACTAATAAGTAGTAACATTCTAAAAAGAAAACACATTTAATTTGTAATTACGTACTCTCTACTTGTGCTAAGGCAAAGTTTTAAATATTTTTTTAACGCCATGAAAGTATGAACTAAGGGGGCGAATTAAAGATAAAAAAATATATATAAAAGGTTGACGAATATTTAGAATGTACGTTATTTTATAGCACCAATGAAACCATTTAATATGCTCCAGGTTTTATTATTTTGAACCTGTCTTTCATAGATTAGAAACTAGTCTATTTTAAAACACCAAAAGGAGATAATTATTCTAAAATAGTCATTACGGATTATTTGTAAGCATTCTGTATTGTTTATTAACCTATTTTTTTTTTAATTAAAAACAGATTAATATAGTTTTTTACTGCCCCATCACTTTCGTATTTGGCTTTATCGTATAATTTTTACAAAATTAAATTATATTTTATTGCAAACTAGCTTTCTAATTGTTATTTATAAGGAGTAATGATCTCAAGGAGCAAATTGAAATTAATATATGTAATACCATTCTTATTCGCGACGTTTCGTCAACGAGTAATTGTTTAACCTCTTCAGGCGATAAATAATAATTATTAATACGTAGTTGGATTACATATATGCATTAAAACTATTTTAGAACTATAAATATCTGTAGACAACTGTATCTGTTGTTGTATAATCCTTATAAATAACAATTATTATTATTTGTGAGCGATATCAACATATTTAGCTTTGTAATTGTTTATAATAATTACAATTGTTATAATCAATAGACAATCAAAAAAGAGTAGTCTAGACAGGCTCGACAGGAGTCTAAACAGGACGAAGAACGAAGAACTGTCACGTTTTCTCTAATAAGACTGCAAAGAAGCCCGAATCATTATCATTACTTAATCTTTATATATCTTAAAACGAGAGTGAAGAATTAATTATCGAAGGCCTTGTCTTCACTTTCTCAAGAAAAATTGAACCCTAGTTCTTGTGAGGGGTTAAATACAGGGCATTAGCGAATTAATTTTGGAAATTAAATTTACCCACTGTAGAGCTCGTAGCTTAGCGGTAAAGTACTGGTGCGTAAAACCAAGGGCCCGCGTTCGATTCCCGGCGGAGGAGTGACAGTAACAAAAATTTTTTCTCATTGATTTGAAGTTATTTGTAGTGGGTAAAGTTAATTAAAAAAAAAAAATAATCCACTGGCTCTATTACTGATACAGGCAGAGATAAGTAACACCATAAACTATGATGATATGGATTATTTTGTCAATAAAAAGTTGTGTAAAGAAGTTTTTCATTTTTCAGTTATTAAATTTTTTCGGAAGAATGAGACACAACGTAAACAACAAAAACAGTTTGAAAGTTGACGGGTATGAGTCCTTCTACCATTAATAATTGTATCAATCTCGAATTAAATCATTTTTTAAACTGCACTTTACGAAACTTTTGAACTGTAGATTCCTATTTCAGATAGGTATCACTTAAATAACCGAATGATTGTCTTTATCACGTGAATGATTTTCTAGACAAACCTGCTACCAATTTGCATATTTACTGTGTCAGTTTGAGGCGATTTAAAATTTAAAATAAACCAAACACCAGACCGATTTGGAACCTCTGAATTAAATCGTTTATCACTTTTAAAACAGTTTGATTGTTGTATTATGTTTGACAATCATAACCAAGTTAATTTGTAATTTAAATTTACCATAAAAACGATTTTTAAATCTTTCGTAAATGAACTATAGGGGCATTGTAAAAGAAATACATATATTAAACCGTTTCTTTTGTTGATAAATTTTTTATAGTTTCAACTTTAACTTAGTTAAAATCCATATACAGTCAAACTTTCCTACTCGAACTCCTAAATTCAGTCACAAATTCGAATTTTTCTCTGTTTCAAAGACGTAGCTTCTGCATATTTTCTTTTTGTTTGTTTTCGTGCAAGAAGGGAAATGTTCAAAATACACCCAGCCGTCCGTACGACTGGGTAGTCAGATTCCTCGAACCTACCCACTAAAACCACTCTACCTCTTTCACATATCTGAAATAAATTACTTTTGGATTTACCCCCTTTACTTCCTCCGTGCCAAATTTTAAGGTCCTAGATTGAAGGAAAGTACTAAGCCCGGTAAGAAGTTTTTCATTTCGACATACCTACGGAATTAAAAAGCTGAATTATATAGTAATATCCCATTTCAACTGTGTGGAGTCCTGACAAGAACGCATTTTAAATTTTTTAACAATTGTGCTCTTTTTTGTTTCAGGTTTGTATGATGGCTGACCCTGGGACTCCTTCAGATGTTACCTCTGGAGGGGTTTCGCACATCAAAAAGGAGATGGAAGCCGCGTTCACAGAATGCTCTCCTTCAAATAGCGATATCTATTCACCTTCAACGACAACCGTAATACACGATGTCGGGGTGAGAAATATAACAAATTATAGGATACGTGGGTGCCTATGTAAAACTCATTTTTTTTATTCTTTTTTCATAAAATTTCAGATAGATTTCAGCGATAGATTAAGCCAGCAGCAATATGAGAGGAAAATTCGTTGTTCAACAAGTCCTGAACGACAATATTGCTCTTCGACCACGCAACCTCACATGGACTCAGGATTAGGAAGTGTAGATGTGAGTATTATGATACAAATTGCCCCATTCCGAATGTTTTTTTTGTGTAGAAGAAAGACTACTACAATAAAAAACAATTTTCAAACATCTTTTTGTCATTTTTAATTATATTACACTATTTACCTGTGGGGACCGGAGGGGACCTCTAAATTTGCAGAAGACCTTTCGTTCATAACAGTACCATAAATTTTTCTCTCACTGCACAGAATTTCCAAATTTCGTGCATAATAAAAAAAACGCAAAATTTCCCTTAAGCCGAAAATTAATCCGATACCCTTTCAGTAGCAGTTATCCAACAATATTTTTACAGAATATTGATATAAAAATCTATATTTACACACGACCTAAAAACATTAATTATCACCACCTCTAAAATTTTCTTATAAGTATTTTTGATTGCTAATCATTGGAGTGAGGGTAATTTTTGTTTTATAGATATTTTATTACGTTTTCTTAACTTTTTTCCTCTTTTACACACAGGATAATACAAAAGAAGATATACCTCGAAGATTATGCCTTGTTTGTGGAGATGTAGCTTCCGGTTTCCATTACGGGGTGGCATCGTGTGAAGCGTGTAAGGCATTTTTCAAAAGGACCATCCAAGGTAACTAGCTATACATATCTAAAGTCAATTTGGTCGACGATTTATCTAGACTGCTTACGGCGTGCTGATGAGGTGTAATAAGTTCGAAATCGTTATCCACGTCTGGTAGTTTTAGTAAATTATTATTAGCCAAGAACTTATTGATTTAGTTTATCACGTATATTATAAACTATGTTGAAGAAATGCATATCTTTGTTAGGCCTTTCTCAAGCATATGAAATACTTCTGTTAACAGCAATATTAGTAGATGGCGATATACTGCCATAACTAGAGATCATATATTTAATTAATCGGTATATTTATGCATTAATTCTATTATTTTTGCATTTCTCAATATTGTCCTATGTTACGGCTCAAAAGTAATTTTAAATTTTGATCAAATTATTATTGAAATTAGGACCAGATTAAAACATGAGAATATACTACTACTGTTATTTAGCTAGCCTTTTGAAATAGGAAACATAGAGTACACCTGTCCAGCCAATGGGGAATGTGAGATTAATAAAAGGAGACGAAAGGCATGTCAGGCATGCAGATTTCGGAAGTGTCTCCGTTCGGGAATGCTGAAAGAGGGCGTACGACTCGATAGGGTCCGAGGAGGAAGACAGAAGTACCGCAGAAACCCTGACATGCCATATCAAATACAGGTTGTTTCGGCAAGACCCAGTCTTGCTTTAGAAGGTATTTGATTTTCATATTTATTGTTACTTTTGGTCTTCATTTTATTCAATAACTAATTGCTTCGTCCACTAAAAAAATTGCATGATATTAAGTAGCAATATCGTGATAACTTTTATTTAAAATAAAGACTAAACGTATAAGGAATAAAATAGAATACAACTAAAAAACTTTAATTAGATTACATTATTTCTATTATACTAAGTATATTACTCCTATTATTTTTTTTTTTCAGATATAAAATTATTAGACATTCTTGCACAATGTGAACCGGATGTATTAGATATGAATACAGCCCTAGAACCGAGCAAACATCGTTTCCTTTCAATTCTCAGTGATTTGTATGATCGTGAACTTGTAAGCGTCATCGGCTGGGCGAAACAGTTACCCGGATTTACTGACATGTCTCTGAACGATCAGATGCGAATGCTTCAGAGCACCTGGGCGGAAATTTTAACCCTCACGCTTGCATATCGAAGTCTACCTCTCCTGAGTCTTGGACGTCTTAAATTCGCCTCCGATTTTACTATGGATGAAAGACAATGCAGGGATTGTGGAGCAGGAGAATTATACCAAACAGTAATTAATTAATATAATAAACACTCGATAATGTGAACCGAAGAAAACAGTAGTTGTTCACATTATCGATTCTTATTGTTCACGTTAACAAATGTTATAATGAGTATGTAATGAGCATCTATAATTAAGTAAATATACATATAATAAATAGATATAACAATAGTGAAATCTCCAAAGAAATCAGAAATTGTTCGCTGTGATGCCACAATAATAAAAACTATTTTTCTTTTTAGTTTACTCATATAGTGGAGAGAATAGATAACCTTTCGATTTTAAAAGAAGAGTACTACCTCATGAAAGCCCTAGTTTTAGCCAACTCTGATGCCCGATTAGACGAGTATCATTCTTTGAAAAAGTTTAGGGATTCCATTGTTATTTCACTAATTGATGCAGTTGGAATTCTTAGGTAAGAAATTAGTTACTATAAAGTTTATTCTCCTAAAACGTGCGTTATCAAAATTAATTTTATGTTTCTCGTCATATTTTAGTTTAATTTGAATTTAGACCAAAATAACAATCAAAATTATTTTTTCAATAACAATTTCTTTAGACATAAAAAATAACTGTACTGTTGTATGATTGATAAGCGAGTGGTTTTTTTTTATTGTATGTGCGACGTTTTTTAAGGCCTTCGACTGCATTTTTTCATACACAGCAATTATTACTGTGTATGCCAGCACTAAGGCAGGCAGATCAGGTGGTGCGAAAGTTTTGGATTGATGTCCATCATCAGGATATTGTGCCAATGAACAAACTATTTTTAGAAATGCTGGAAGCGTACAATCGGTAGCCTTACTGTCATAACAGAATATAATTAACTTTCACAAGATCTATATTGCGATCGTCGGATTTTTGTGCAATAATATTTATTGACAAACGCAAAAATCAAACCCTACCTTTGTCTGTCCATTTATAAGAAAAAGAAGTAATGTTTTTTTTATATATAAATGTACATGGAAAATTAATGCATACTATGATATTGCCCATGTTTCGTGGATGTCGTCTTAATTTTTTATCTCGAAGTTTATTTTTTTATTAAAACTTAGTAAATGCTATAGAATGAAAAATTTTATTTAAAGTTTGAGCCTACTTTATTTTTAGCTCTGCTTAAGTTTGTTATTTGGTTGTGGATATTTAACTTTTTATTTTTTTCAAAAATTGGCAATTTTATTTTTAAAGTTGAAGTTTGTGTTGCTGTTTTTATATTTAATTTACAAACATAAGACGATATCCATACACTATCAAACTCTAACGTATAATTAAGAACAACCCAGTGATAGCTAAATGTAGAAGATTACTTAGTTATTTTGTAAATATTATCTAGAAAAGAATTTATTTTACAAATAAATTTTATTATATCGTGTAACAAGGCAAGTTAGATAAATAAAAACCACAAAATAGAAGTAGCTGCGTGGTATTTTTAAAGAAAAGAGAAAAGGATAAAGGAAGACAAATAAAAAGTTTAACTGCAAAAACTGCTTTTAATTGAGTGAGATAAGCCGTAAACTGATTAAAGTACAAAAATTTCACCAAATTAATAATATTCCAGAACTTATTTAATAAATAAATAACTTTAATAAATGCCCAAAAGTAGAAAATTAAAGCTTCAATTTTCTAATTAAATTATTATGGAAATTTATACATTATTCTTCTCCTGCACCTTTTTTCTTGGCTATTCCTTCCTTCTGTTTTTTCGTCTTTTTCGATTCTTTTTCTACATCAATTGGGGCTGGTTTAACAAAAGGAATTTCTTCCCTATATATTTCAGGCAAGTAATGTTTTAATACCACTGGTATTTTGATTCCAGTTTGCGTTTGGTGTACTTCCAGGATAGCGCAAATTGTTCTAGTAACTGCACACATGGTAGCATTAAGCATGTGTACATAGTCCGTGGTTGCATTCATTTTCTTAGTTTGCCCATAACGTACCAGCAACCTTCTTGCTTGATAATCAAGGCAATTTGAACAAGACACTAGCTCTCTAAATGCTCCAGAGCCAGGAAACCAAGCCTCCAGGTCAAACTTTTTAGCTGCTGCATTATTTAAAGCTCCTGAAACTATGTTTACTATGCGATACGGAATTTGCAGTTCTTGGTAGAACTCTTCAGCGTTTAGTATCATCTCTTCAAACATTTCCCACGACTTGTTATCAAAAGGCGACGTTAGACAGAACTGTTCTACCTAAAATATACATATGTAACTCATGTATCTAATCTTAAAACTTACAAGACATCAAAAGGTACCTTTTCAAATTGATGTACCCTAAAAATGCCTCTCGTGTCTCGTCCATGTGATCCTACTTCTTGTCTAAAACAAGTTGAGACCCCAGCATACTTGATGGGCAGAGCGTTTTCAGAAATCCATTCGTCCCTATGGAATGCTGCAATTGGTTGTTCAGAAGTTGCTATTAAATATTTTTCTTCCACATCCTTGTCTTCTGACTTTTCACTACCTTTTCCTATAACTTTATATAGCTCTTCATCAAACTGAGACAACTGGGCAACTTCCTGCATCACCTACAAAATATTTTATAATTTTGAGTTCTAAGTATGTAACAAAAATGCCGGACCTCTTTTCTCATAAAAAATGGAGTATAGAGAGGACTGTACCCTTTTGTATTCAGTTTTTGCAATGCAAATTGAATCAATGCGAATTCTAAAAATACTGCAGGTCCTTTCATATAATAACCCCTTCCTCCAGACACAACGGCGCCTCTTTCACTATCCATTCCTAGAATTAAATATTACCACCATAACAACTCTGAAAACCTTTATTTACCATCAATCATATGGATTAAATCTACATGAGAGTATTTTTTTCTTTCTTCGCAGTTTCCAAAGGTTCTCTCAACTTTGTTATGATCTTCATCATCATCTACTGGTACTGATTCATGCAGATGGTTTCCCACCTCTCTAAGTGCGGCATTTCTTTCTTTCTCAGTCATTAAGAGGTCACTTTCATTTTGAACAATTGCATCATCAATTAAAGTCCGAACCTATCAAAAAAATTATAATACAGTGTAAGTGACAGGTGTTGTTACTATAATTTCACCTTTTTTATTTGATTAACAGTAAGTTTCTGCAAAGCATCTGCTGTTAAAGTCTCCAATATCGATTTAACATTCTCAGGTACATCATCATTTGGATCCCCTTGATTTTCTTTTCTCTTCATTTTCTCGCCAATCACTTTACTACACAAATTCTTTAACTTATTCCAGTTGTCTGCTTTATGCCTTAACTGTCTCCATAAGGCATCCTTTTCAATCACGGTATCTACTAAAGCTACATCTTTATATCGCTTCTTTTGATTATCCCTAACTTTTTCAGGATTTCCTCCTTTATCCGTTCGAAATAAATCTAAATCTAATACCATGTTTGTTTTAATTGCCTCTTGTTTAGGGTGATGCAAGTATTCACTGCAATGCGGTCATTCATCAAAAAGGTAAGGTTATACAACTCAAAAGTCAAACTGGTTGCATTCAGCTCACAGTAATTTTGATTTGAGTGAAATCCAAAACAGAATGACCGATCATAAACCGATCGCATTTTATATTTTACCGCCACGGTTTATTTTTCATGTGTTTTGTATTTGGTTAGGTTATAAAATAGACATTTATTAATATTTAGAGGAATAGAAATGTTAAACAATTGGCAAAAATTAGTTTGTTCCAGCAAAGAATTACAGTTACGAGGAACATTAAATGGAGGTCAAAGTTTTAGGTATATAAATATAAATACAATTGTTTATACTTTTATAATACTTTTCTTTAAGGTGGAAAAACGTCATTAATAAAAATGACAAGGAGGAACAATGGATAGGGGTATTTCAAAATAAAGTTTGGTTTGTAAAACAACACGAAGATCATCTTTTATATAAAGTGTTTGGTTCGTTTGAAAACATAAATAGTCAAGCGATATTAAAGGAGTACTTTAGATTAGATGATGTCAACTTATCACATTATTATGAAAAATGGTCAAAAATTGATTCAAATTTTAAAGAAGCTGCTGAAAATTTTAAAGGAATTAGAATATTGAAGCAAGATGTTGTTGAAAATATTTTCTCATTTATATGCTCCCAAAACAATCATATAAATCGGTGAGGGACAGTGAGATACATAGTAATGATAATAAACTATCTACAATGTAGTTATGTTAACTTCAATTTTCAGTATTTCAAGTTTGGTAGAAAAATTAGCTAGGCTGTTTGGTCAAAAAATATGTGACATTGATGGAACTGCTTATTATGGATTTCCCCCAGTAGAAAAGTTAGCTGACCCAGAAGTAGAACAAATATTAAGAGAAAATGGATTTGGATACAGATCTAAGTATATTAATAAAACAGCACAAGCTATTATTGGTAATGGAGGAGAAGAGTGGTTAGATAAAATTAAATCAATGAATTATGAAGATACAAAAAGGAACTTAATGACATTAACCGGGATTGGAGCTAAAGTAGCTACAGCCTTTATAAAGTATATATTATACTATACTCTACATTTTATTTTCTTTTAGGTAGCAGATTGCATTTGCTTGATGTCTTTTGGTCATTTACAAGCTCTACCAGTAGACACTCATGTTTATCAAATAGCTGCAAAATATTATTTACCTAAACTGGCAAAGCAAAAGACAATCACAGACAAATTATATAATGAAATAGGAGACTACTTTAGAAATTTATATGGTCCTTTGGCTGGTTGGGCACAAACGGTATGAAATGATACTTTTATTTGAATTGATTTTTTATTAAATGGAAAAAATACAACTAAATTTTTTTAATGTAAATAATTAAATGTTCTAGGTACTTTTTTGTGCTGATTTAAAAAAATTTCAAGAAATAGGAGAAAAGAGAGGTGCTAAAAACAAAACCTCTGTTCAAGAAGCACCACAAATCAAGCGGAAGAAACCTTGACATTACACTTGGAAGTAATAAGCTTTGTTTAGTTATGAAATAGGTGGTAAGTTATTGATTTATAGTATTTTATTTATCAGTTTTTTTTGTAAAAGCTTTCAGTGATCAAAGGACAAAATCTATAAATTGACAAATTAGCTATTTTATAATACTTTTTATTAACAAATCTTAATCGAACAGTTTGCTAAACCTTTTATAATATGTAACTACTCCTATCATAATAAGATATTAAATTAAACGTTAAATAGTGAACTTTTAAAATTGTTATCAAGTATAAAAACGAATGTAATTTATACTCTTACTAGTAATTTACTTCGCTTGTCGGAAGCACTTTGTTTTTTTTTTTATTTCTAAAAGTACTTGTTCTATGCACATTTTTTGTTTCCCAAAATTAAATCTTATCAAATTTAAACTTATTGAGTAAGGACGTATAATAGATCGTGTTATCTCTAATCGGGATGTTGGGTTCTAACGTGTTTATTTCGGTCTCCTTTTTGGCGAAATTCTCGACCGCATATTTCACAAGGAAAAGGACGTTCATCAGTATGAATTCGTCTGTGATTATTAAGTGCGTCTGCTCGAAAAAAGCGCTTTTCACAGATCTACAAATCCAGAAAATATTACATAGTTAATATCGAAATTGATTTCTTAAATGCATTGTTGTACTTACATCGCAACCATATCTTCGGTCGTTGGTATGGATAAGGCGATGCTGATAATAAACGGAACCTGTTAAGAAACATTTGTTGCAAACAGCGCATTTGAATGGCCTTTCACGAGTGTGTACTTTACGTATGTGGTCCTTTAAATCTGGTCTAATTGTATAACGAGCTTCACAACCTTCATGAGGACAAGCGAACGGTTTTATTCCTACATATAACAAGAAAATGCAATAAATTTTAATAAACAACAATAAAACGAAATAAAAACCTTGATGGAAACGCATGTGTTGCCACAGATGAGATGTTTGGGAGTAACTTCTTCCACATTGCTCGCACACGTAAGGTTTTAGACTCTGGTGTGCTCGACTATGGATAACCAGTGCTTTTGCACTGTGAACGACCTACAAATTACAAATAGCAATTATCGTCTGTTCACTAAAATATAAAAATAATTATGGTACCTGTCCACATTCGTCACAAGAGAAACTAGAAGCATGTTGTTTTTCCCTATGATCATCAAGATCTGCAACGCTTCTAAACACATCATTACATCTTTCACATTGGTACCTGTAGCATTCTTCTAAATCAAAAGACGGTTTCTTTATCTTGCCCTGTTTGGGCCATTTCCGCTTTCGACCTCGTTTCTTTTTTTCAGGCTCATTGTTATTATTGTCATTAATCTTTACATTATCCGCATCGTCATTTTGTCCATTTTCGTTGACAATAACTTCCTGTTTGACTTGTACCGTTCCATTCTCCAATATTTCCAGTTGATTTTCCTTATTGTCTTGCGACGTATCGATAATTTTGTCGATCTTATTTTCCTCCGAGACTTTTGTCATCGTGGTCAAGACATTCTCTATAAGTTTCACGAGACTGTCTTTATCTTCGAGGAACTTTTCGCAGTTGAAATTCTCGTCGCGTAACTGTTTAGTTTTCTCATTTTCATTCATTTGAATTTTCACGTCCTTCGAGTTGAACATTTTCGCAGTGTAATGTTTCTTTTTTATTTTGTGATTATACAAGAGCTCGTGAGATTTGAATGTACGATCGCAATATTCGCAATAGGTCATTTTCGGTAAATAAAATAAATTTGCTTTGTCTGAACACTGGCTCATCCAGTGTTTACAGGCTACTATATAAGATTCAAAAGTTTCATCGCAAGTTGAACATCCGTAATTAGTTGAAGTGTCGTGTAACTTTTGGTGAGACAAAAGCGCGTTCTTTTCTGCGTATGTTCGATTGCAAAATTCGCATTGCAAAAGGATCTCAGTTAATATTTTTTCAATGTTTAGTTGGCAGTTATCGTCCTCCACATTTGAACTTTCCGAATTCATATTTCTGACTGATTTTTGTCCTTCAAAATTTTGCAAACAAACTTCCAAATTATTATTCGTTACCTATAAGAATATTTCGAAAATAAAATGCTGTAATAATTTAAGTGTGAGTGAACTGCTCCTGAAGCTGCAAGTCTTATCTTATTTGTAGAAGTTACTATCGGTGAAACTAATTCATCTAACTGAAGTATTTATGGGGAAATTGAGGATAAAATTAAAAAACAATAGCAAAAAAATGTCTTAATTCTGAATTTTTTCAGTACAGTAAATCCTTGGCACCTCAACTTCATTTTTTCTTCTAGTTTCATAATCCAAAGTGTACATTTTTTTCCAAATGTATTAGATGAGTAATTAATTTTATTTTAATTATTTTGCTTCTGTTTAATCGGATAAAAAATGTGATTTTGATTACGCCTTAAAAAACACAAGTTTGTGTGTAGAAGAAAATTAGTCATAAACACAAAATATTTCGCTTTAGTCAAAACCAGTACGAAATTCATTCTATTTTATTAGATAAATATGAGACTCATAGCTATGGGAGCAGACCACCAATGCTTACAAATAACTAAATTACTTATGGACAAGATTTTTTTACAAGAATGTCAGAATCAACGCTTACTTCATAAAGTTAACATAAAAAAAATGAAAGCAGTGATAAAACAAATAAAAACTTTGAAATTTAATTACCTGTAGCTTCCTATTATCACCACCTTCTGAGAATGTCTTGTAATTGCAAGTTTCACTATGTTTGTTAGCAAATGCAGGAGTTGCGAAAACTTGGGTACATCTGGTACATTTCCAAACGGTAACGTCACTTCGGTAAAATTTTGAAATATCTCCCGCTTTTTTGCAGTGATTTTCAATATGAATGCGTAAACGGTTTTCGCTAACAAATTGTTTTTTACAGTGTTCACACACGTTTTCTTTGGTGTTCTTGTGACTAGTTTGATGTCGTTCCAAATTATTTTTACTTACGAACTGTTTACCGCAAGTTGTACAATCGTACTTTATTCGCATACCTTTATCAATATCTCTCACATCTGCGTCAGGCTTTAGTACTACTTTTTCTGCATTAAATTCACATTGATGTCTTTGATATTGGTATTTTGTTGGAAAATTGGTATCACAGTTCTGGCAGCGTATCATTATAGGAATGTTTGGAATTTTACTTTGCTGTTTGGGTTTCACGATAGATATATTATTTAAAAATGATTTGCAGTCTCCAGGATCGTTTAATACTGTACTTATTTCAGTGGCATAGTTTAATGGATTTAGGTCTTCTACTGCCCCAATTTTTATTATTGTAACAGAGGAATCCTCAGGTTCTAAATAACGATAACTTAAATTTACTTTGTTTTCTGGAATAAAATTCCAGTTCGTTTGGGGTGTTAATGTAATATCCTCTGTTGAAATTGGTATTTTAGCAATCACTTCTTGTGTAACCACATCTTCTTCATATTGCATCGAGTTAACGTTTCCCGCCTCATCGAATTGATGGACTGTTAAAAATATATTATTCGGATTATTCATATTAACTACTTGAACCACTAGATATCTTTAAAGCAGTTATTTTCTATCAAAATAGCTTTGCTTTTCAACTGCACGATAACTTTGAGAAAATTTCTTGCCTTAAACAATTTTTGTTTTCGAATCGCTACTAAAGCAACGCAACAATTGAAATTCGTTTGTTTAATTTCCGTTTGCAAAACCGTTTTTAATAGGTTTCTTCAATATAGAAAAAGATAAAATAACATTGAATCTTCTTGAAATAAATGCAAAATCGAACATTTGTATTAAAATATTGTAACTTGTAAGGCATTTAAAATTTTAAATTTTAAATTCATAAAATAAAAAACCTATAAATGATTAGGAAGTTTTACTGCAAGACAGTTGGTAGCATTTGGAAAAAAACATATATCATGGCAGTTCTATGTTTTGACTATCTATGGTTCTGACAGTGATTGGTACGTGAAACTTGGCCTTGACAGACCACAGCAATAGTATTTGTTGATAAGACAAATTATTAAAATAGAACAAAATTAATTATATGGTGGTTCATTGTAATTATAAACTACAGGACTAATTTTCCATGTTTGATAAGTAATATACCGTAAATAATAATGGAAAAAATAGTAATTTTCGGATCAACCGGCATGACCGGTGTTTGCGCAGTAGATGCTGGGGTTAAAAAAGGTAAATTAGTTTTAATTTTTTAATTTGTAATATATTTACATTATTAAATTTAAGGTTTGAATGTAAGAGCTTTTGTGAGAGACCCTGCAAAGCTTCCGGATCATCTGAGAAACAGTGTTGAAGTGGTTAAAGGGGATGTTTTAAACTACACTGATGTATTAAACGCAATTAAAAATGTAACAGCAGTGGTTGTTGCTTTAGGGACTCGTAATGATTTAAAGCCGACAACTGACCTTAGTGAAGGCATGAAAAATATTATAAAAGCTATGAAAGAACTTAATGTTGAAATTATATCAGTATGTTTGTCTGCATTTTTATTTTATGATCCAGAGAAAGTTCCTGCTGTATTTAAACACCTTAATGCCGATCACCAACGTCAGTATGATGTTCTTAAAGAGTCTGGTTTGAAGTATATAGCTGTTTTTCCGCCTCATATAGCAGGTACAACAACATGTTTTATTTTATGTTACTTTAAATCATTAAAATCATTGCTCATAGATCAACCTGGTGCTCAGTATGAAATTAAACATGATGCTTCTCCAGGACGTGTAGTTTCTAAAAATGATTTAGGTCGATTTTTAATTGAGAGCTTAATTCAGCCTGAACATTATGGAAAAGTGTGTGGTATTTGCACAAAATACTAAACAACTTTATGTAAAAGTAGTGGATATTTTCAATAGTGTGAGGTGAAAGGTGAGTGAAAGGAGTTGGTTATTGTAATATTTTACCCATTTACAGTTTTTATACTCTAATATTGAAATAATAAGAAAACATGAATTGATTAAGCATTCAATTACATATTTAGTTATAATTTTAAACCAAATTACAAAATTAACTTTTGATGAAACGTAAGTTCAAAATTGGTTTGTTGAAATTACAATAAAAATTTTGTTTTTTATATTTTTTCCTTAAAAGAATTGCTATTATTTATCATCTTACTTTATTTGCATATCTGTAGCTCCACCTTAAAAGAAACTTAGTGTAAGTCTAACATAAGTATATGTTATATTTAAAGGAAATATAATTTGTAAGCAATTCATTGATATGTTTCCTTTTCACAGCAACAATTCGTTACAAATAAGTAATAATTTATTAAATAACTTTAATTTAAAGCATTTAATTTTGTTCTGTGATATATTCAAGATGACGGTTTATAAAATTATCATTTTAATTTTGAATGATGCAGTAGTTTTTATTATACCAAGCCCCATCTTTTGTGACTTCTGTTACTGTTTAAAATTTGCAACGTTCGAAATTCTTAGGAGAAATATTGCAATTATTGTAAACAAGGTATTGGGTTGAAGTAATTATATTTCATAATTATATTTTAATCGACAAAATAACTATCAATTGTATTTTAATTTTTCACAATACAAGTTTTGAATAAGCACAATAGTCGTTAAAATCTGATCTCATAAATATTTAAATGAAGCACACACTTAACAAAAATGCTAATGGATTTCGTTTTTTCCATAAACATTTTTAATGAAACACACATTAATAAAAATATTGTAAGATAACACGTAAAATTGTTAGGTATTCTTCAACGACCTCTGTAATGTATAATTTACTTTAATTATATAAAAAATGCAGCTTTCCCTTTTCGTTCCTATTATCTTTTCAAAATTTAAAAGTCATGATAAGATTTACAATATATATCATAGTTTAAATAGAAGTCCAAATAAGTGGATATGAAAAAATTTAATAATAATACCGTTTGTAAAAAACAATAAATATCTATTTTATGAACCAGAAAGAAAGTTGCATCCTTGTTATAAAAATAAAAAAGAACTATGCCCAGTTTGGTTCTCAGCAGATCTTATGATTTACATGTGGTGGGTATGTGAGAAGGAATAGGTCTCTATATTTCAGCTTTTTGTTCTTCAGCAGAAGATTCTAATACCAGGAATATGTTTTCGGTTGACTCTGCAATGCTTACACGTCTTCTTATTATAGGTGTTACCCATATAACAGATACCATTTAAGATGATTCCCTTACCACTGGTTGGCTTCCTCCAGCTAATATATCTATCGTGAGTTCGTCTACCCCTCGCAAGACGGACACCAGAGGCATCACCATCATGATTATCCGAATTTGTTTACCAAGACGGTATAGAATGCGTTTAGGAACATAGCTCTGATAAACAGAAAACGCCAAAAAAATCCAAGATAGGTACGTTACTTGGAAATATCCGTCACTGCGGGGAAATTGAATATGTAATAAGAGACTTTGGAACATAGTACCCTAGTGGCTCGAATTAGAATGTTGCAACTATGTTTAATTTTAGCTATATTTTTTTCTATAAGAAGCTGGGCATGGTTCTTTCAATTCGTAAATTGTTTACTTTTCATTTTCAATTCTTTCACACTTGCAAAAATGAAAATTTTATACATCGCGTTTCATATATATCTTTTTCTTTTGAAACTTTAGTAGTGGATTACCATAATTTAGTGGCGGAGGAGGTGGAGGTACCGGAGGAGTCGGTTGAGACGAATTATTATTCGCTTTTCTTATCATTGAATTATTTGTTAAAACAGAATTATTTGAATTAAAATTTGAAATTTTATTATTTAACGGACCACCATAAATGCTAACAGGTTCGCATTGACTATATCCTAATTTAAAATAAAAAGATATACGATCTGTTGTAGATAAATAAATTGTCTTCAAATTTAAATTATTCTTACAATGTTTCTCTGCTTCTCTCATAAGAAACGAACCATATCCTTTACCACGTAATTTCCTATCAATAACAACAGATTCGATGAAACATGCATGTTTTATGGATGGTATTGGTGATAGCTTACAATGACCAATAAGTTCCTTGTTTATTAAAAGTATTAAAGAAGTTGGCAAAGAATCAGAAGAACTTTTTAAACTGTGTAGCCGTGCTGCATCGCTCCTTTTCCATTCATTGTTTAATAAACGACAGCATTGCAATGTATATTCCGGAAAATGGTGTAATGGCACAACTTTCAAGTCAGATTCTAAAAAAAAATGAAAATGTTGAAATGTCAGGTACATTTTCCTTTAATTTTTGATTTGAAAGTTCCCGCAACTTTAAGCACACTTAAAAGCTACCAACATATAAAAATGACATTATATAATGTTTATAAGAACAATATTCTTTTTAAATTGTATTTTAATTAAACACTTTTGATATTTAATAATAAAACGGAATACGAAAATTAGTAATCTTCAAAACTGTATACACTTAATGTGTGAAATTAATCAAATGTTATGACATTTTTTGATTAACAACATAACCTAAACAGTAAATTTGGCAATTGCTGTTTTAAATAAGCTGTGTAAGTTTGTATTTTAAATATAATTCTATAAAAGTTTTTACCTTCCAATTGTAAGTCCATATTAAAAATCTTCATAAAACTTTTGATGTACAGAACAGAAACACTAATAATATTCATTTAAAGGAAATTGACTAATTTGCATTATAGAAATGGAAAAGATGGCGGAGTTGTAAAGAAGACTAAATTGTGAAAATGTATCATTTTAGACCCTGTTACATGCTTGCAAATAATTTTCCATGATGATCCCTAGCAGATTGGGGCTAACACCAGGGATTCCTGATCATCCACTTTGCACATCATGGCATGATTCAGCTTGGATTCCTATTTTAAACACAGGAAATGTAATGGACTACTTTTCAGAAAGATCTAATCCATTTTTTGATAGGACATGTAATAATGAAATAGTAAAAATGCAGCGCCTTAATCCAGATCAGTTGCAGTAAGTGCTTTTGTAAATAAAATTTTTAAGGATTGTTTTTCATTTAAAGCTGTTTATTAAAAGTTTAAAATTTTAAAACCATATATTTATTGTACAATCTGTTTTAGAAATATGACTGGTTTAGAGTATGTATTGCTTCATGTTCAAGAACCTATTCTATATGTGATAAGAAAACAGCATAGACACAGTCCTACACAAGTTGTTCCTTTTGCTGATTACTACATAATTGCTGGAATTATATATCAGGCTCCTGATTTAGCAACTGTATTAAATTCAAGACTGGTAATATTTACTTTTTTATTTGATATTTATTAATATTAGATATTAAAAGTGAATTAGAGAATCAATATCAATTCAGTTATCATGTTAAGGATGGTGCCAGCTTTATTAGAAACATTAAATTATATTTCTTAAACAGTAGTAATAAATATTGTGAAATCATTAAAAATTAATAAGCAATTGGGCCATACTTACAGTATATTGTTATTGAATAAATTTGACTACAAGGCACTCCAGTTTCATACAGACTATACTTAATAAAAAATTCATTCGACATAACAACATAAATAATAAAAGCTTAGTTAAAGTTACAAAAAGTTGTTTTTCGCAAAAAACAAATTACATCGATTACGAGTCGCTGTCGTGGCAGGCGAGCATTTATTATAAACTAGTTTAAATTAAATTTTAAAGTTTCACTCGTTTTTATAATAAATGCTCAGAAACGTATGACAAATTTCGACGTTCATGTGTTAATACAAGATGTATTTTCAGTTGTCGGCAGTACATCACTTACAGTCAGCTTTTGAAGAAGCTTCTAGTTATGCAAGATATCATCCTAGTAAAGGTTATTCATGGGATTTCAAAAGGAGTGGAATTGATAAAGTTAAAAAAGAAGAGAAACCAAAGGAGGAAGCAAGTTCCTTATTTCAAAGACAAAGGGTGGACATGCTTCTAGGTGAGCTGATTAAAAAGTTTCCTTTGCCTCAGCCCCAACTGCCAAAAATTAACCCCACAGCAGTTGTAAAAACTGAACCAGAAAATGGAACTACAGAAAATAAAGAGAGTAAGAGTGATAAACAAGAAAAGATAAAGCCACCACCAGAAAAGAAACCGAAAATAAATTGATTTCTTTATGTATGTATATAGGAGACTAATTTTTTAAATAATAATAGTTAAATATTTTTGTACACGTTTTTTTTTTTAATTAAAAATTAAAATCAATCGATTTACTAAAAAGAAGATTTAAATTTCATTTTATCGTTTCTGTAATCTTTAGTTTGCACGTTTCTAAATAATAAATATTTAACTTGTGTCGTTATTCGCAAAAATAAAGTTTTCTCATAAATTTTAAGTAATTTGTGTAATTGTTGCTAACAATTCGAGTAACATTCAAATAATACTTAACCTTGGCTAAATAAATCTAGAATTCAAACGAGGAAAATGGAAAACAATAATAAGAGATAAAGCTCATGTCATCCATTTCTATTGGATATAGGATTTTCTGTGGGTATATTGAAGGTCTGATAATTTGGATCTAAAATATATCTATATAAAATACAGAGAAAAGAAAAGCCAAGAAAAAGTGTCATTTCGCGGAAACGGTTTCTGTTATTGAATTAGTACACATACGCATTTTACGAAAATATTCGTAATATATTTATTTTGTTACTAGTGAGAAACTTAATTCGTCAAAACGGGTATTCAACGAACAATGAGTGATGATGATCGCGACATTGATGTTGAAAGCGACGTATGTATTAATTTGTCTATGTCCATTACAGATCAATTTGCAAAAAGTATATTATTTTTAAGGAAGGAGAAGACTCCGACTCTCGGCAGCAAAGTCTCAGGCAGTCGTCAAACAGCCAGTATTATTCACAGGTAACTTGCATTTCTTAAAGTTTCCTCTAGCAAAATAACGTTTTTTCTTAACAAGTTTCTGTTGTATGATATAAATCGTTGTGTTTCAAGGCAGAAAAGCGAGCACATCATAATGCCTTGGAAAGGAAAAGAAGAGACCACATAAAAGATAGTTTTAGTAGTTTGAGAGATTCAGTACCTGCTCTTAATGGGGAAAAAGTAGATAAAAGGTAATGCACTGTATTAATGGATAAACTAATAAATTATTTTGTAGGCTAGTAGGGCCCAAATTTTAAAAAAAGCCGCTGAATATATACAGTTTATGAGAAGAAAAAATAATGCCCACCAGCAAGACATTGAGGACCTCAAAAGACAAAACAGTTTACTTGAAGCACAAAGTAATATCTTACTTTTTAATTAATGAATTAATATTGTTAAAGGCAGTTAGTGATTCCTTTTGTAGTACGAACACTGGAAAAGGCTAAAACATCAAATTCTTTTGGATTGGAAAATTCTGTTGGAAAGGACAGTAGTTTTAATGAATCTGAATCTGATACATCAGACACAGAGAGTTCATTACCAAGACGACACAAGAAATTGAAAGTTGGGGCATACCACTGACTAATTATAGCAATGATGAATTATGTGACACTGATAAATTGATGTCGTAAGTGTTAAAAATCACTTGAACAATATACTTGTACGTTTTTTTTTTATTACAGAGGGTAAAATTGTAGGTAAACAGCTTTTCTTTATGTTAACATCAACTAGCCAATTAAATACAAAAAATTATATTACTCTCAAAAAACGTTAATTAAGACATATATGTACATAATATTTAATACAAAACACTTCATTGCCCTTCTGCAGGAAAGTATTGTAGAATAAATAATACTAAATATTGTATATTCTTGTTTAGTGATATATATTAAAAATCTCTTCCATTGTGTTGAAACAATGTTGTACAATTATCTAAAACTTATTAGTTTAATAAATTTTGTTTTTAAAGCACGTTATTTATACAAGGTGTACTGCAATCATCACATAAACCAGTAGCTTACACTTTGTGACAGAAAATGAAAATCCAAGAGGACAACCTGTATATGTGCTACTCCTTGCTCGCTTGCTGTATACTCCATAGTAATATTGGTTGATTATGTTGGTAAGACAATTTAAACTGCTCATTACAAATCTATGTTACAGATTACAATCTTATATTATCTATGGCACTTTATAGCATAGATTGTTTTACACATCGACGTTTACTAATGGACATGCCTTAGCGATCAGAATTGTGGTACAACAAAAGAAAGAGATGGAACGAAGTTTCGGACAATATTCATCTCTCTTACGATAGTGCGTAAGCGTGTCATGAAAGAGATAACACTAGTTCTAAACCATACACCATCTCCCTCACTTTTCGACCCAAGAAATTATAACAACGATATACGGCTAAGGCACGTCCATTAATATATGTCTATGGTTTTACAAGCATCAGTTGTTTAGATGTCTATGATTGTTTACAGTTTGATGTGTGAAAAACAAAACATGTAATACAAGTTAAATTTGTATATTTAATGATTGATTACCAAAAGCAACAAATTAATTTATCTAATACTTCAAATGCAGATTCTTTGAGCAGATATACGAGCAAATCGTCCGCCATCTTCTCAAGACACCTGTTTGGATTTGTCCAGGTTAGTCTCAATTATTTTAATCCAGAATCATTAATTAGGTCAGACTATGATGGTTCTATTTTAAATTCACTTATTAGGATATATTGTGGGCACTTCGGAATAGTATTCTTTATTATGAATTGATGATGATGAAGGGTATATCCATTTGCAACAGAATAGTTGAGCCATTAGTTGCTTGCTGTGGTTGCTTGCAAAAAAGCAATTTCAATTAAAACATCGCAATAATTATGAAAGATTTAAAAAAGGGCGAATCAATATGTTTGGCATAATGATTAATAAATATCTGCGCAAAACACCTGAAGTAGGAATAAAAAAGTCAAAATATATTTCCCTTTATTGTAATCGTTTATTTAAGGTTACTTAAATAAGGGTTCAGTCATTTAAATCAAACCTG